ACCCGGGATCTTCCTGCGTGGAGTCTCCATGTTCTCCCCGTGCAGCGTGGGTTCTCTCCGGGTTCTCCGGCTTCCTCCCACAGTCCAGAAACATGCTGAGGTTAATTGGTGATTGTAAATTGTCCGTAGGTGTGAATGTGAGTGTGCTTGGTTGTCTGTCTCTAAGTGTAGCCCTGTGATAGACTGGTTACCTGTCCAGGTGAACCTGCCTTCACCCTGAGTCAGCTGGGATAGGCTCCGCCCCCCATGACCCTGGTGAGGATTAAGGTGTAGAGATGATGGGTGGATGTGCATTTATTATGTAACTTTGGTCTTATCTATTTATTATGAGTAACAAGGAGTCTCTATGTCCTTTAGAAGGAAACAGAGAGAGAGAGAGAGGTTGTTTTAAAAGACACACCTGTACAGCTGCACCTGTCGAGCAGGTTGGGTCAGATACATTTAGCAGGTAGGGGGTGAGGAGGGAGGGCTCAAACACAGCGCAGTGAAGGAAGGAAGAAGCAAAGGAATGCAATAACTGACGAGCAGACAGATGAAGGAACAGACAGAGAGGGACACTCGGCCCTGACGGTGTTTTGGACAAACGCTTCATGACTTCACCACAGACACAGAAACCAGCTCTGCTTTGAAACAATCCTCAGAAACAGGTAAGTTCTGCTCACTAGGAAACATGCTGGGTTTTTACTGGACTCAGTGAGAAACCTTCTGTAAACCTTATCGTAAAGTTCTGCTTCGTAGTGTGTGAATAGGACCTGGTTCATGCTGATGGTCTACACAGCTGCTAAAGGTTGGAGCTACTTCTGCTGCTCTTCATGTCTGTAGCACGCTAGCTTGCTCTGACATTACGGTAAAGGTCTGTTAGATTCAAAGACACACAATCAGGGTTTTCCTGCATTTTGTTTGACCAACGTACAAATCTTCAACCTCCATGGATTAAAAATCAATAACACAATGAATAAAAACGCAGTAGTTTTATAAATATCTGTTTAATAATGGCAGTGGCAGCAAACCGGAAAGTTCGGGAACAGTTTCATTCAAGTGAGCAGGCACCAGCTTCCAGCTCTCCTTAATGAACCTGAGCTCCTTATTCTTAATCCCTCTGATTGTTGAGCTTTGTTTTTCCATCTATGGCACATGAAGCTGAGCACAGGGCCGGTCTCAAGGAAGCAGGTTCAACCAGGAATTCTTTGCTAGACTGTTAAAGCATTACTAAACACAACGTGTCGACCTTCAGGAGCTGCTCACGTGACGTCACTGAGGTGGATTTCAGGTCGTCCTACGTTGTGTTTTAGATCCAGTTCTGTGGTCACCGAGGAGTCACTGATCCAGGACAGTCCACATGGTTCCACTTCTTCTGCCAGTGACAGCACACAGTAAACCTGGAGAAAGTAGATGATTAGCTGCTGGTCCACTCATCCTCCAGCTGGTCACAGCCACAGTCACAGAACAATAAGTTGTAATCATACTGAGGCTGTTCACGAAATGCCTGATGCCCTCAGCTATTGTTCAGCACAGGAAAATGATGATGCATGTGCTGCTTGTGTTATTAGACTGTCAGAACCAACAGCTAAAACATCCATCACGTTGGCTGTTTTCACTCCTCACATCCATGTCGGCTTGTTTACGTTACAGCTGAGATTAGATTCCTCCTTCAGTCCTTATTTAAGCTCTTAAAGGTTCAGAATGTTATCTTTGGGGTCGACGAGAACATGCCATCGTGTTTAATACCACATTATTTATCTCATACATGTTCAAGCTTCAGCCTCCTCCTCAGAGCCGGCCTGACAAAAGCAGAGTAATGTTGGTTGCAGGCAGTAGGTCTGTGAGGACAGGGAGCAGCTCGACAGAAAACAACAGCTTTTTCACAAAGCTGCTCATTCTTTGCTTGAGGGCGTGTTGAACTCGCCGCGGGGCAGGCTTCATGCACAAGTCCTCCATGGTGACGTCGATAACTACAGAGAAAAGAGTCTGGATTCAAATTAAGTGTTTCACGCAGACAAGGAACAACGTTTCTGTAGGAGAGAACAACGAGCCTCCCATGAACACTGGGATCAAAAACACACCACAGGGAGCAAAGCCAAGACTGTTGTGGAGCACGTATGAAGCAGTGTGTTGTAGTATACACACAGGTGTGTGTGTGTGCTGCTTCCTGCAAAGACAGACACACACAGACAAGGAAAAAAATCAAAAGAAGAAGCTGAACTCTTGATCTCTGCAGTAAGGGTGGCCAGAGTAGTGCAGACCCCCCATCTCTAACACACGAGGGTCACTGAGAGTTTTAATTAGTATGAAATCACACCGTCCTGCCCCAACGCTCACATCACCGACAGCTGAAGGGAATCACATCGATCAAGAACACACCAGACTTACAAGACAGCTCAACTTTCGAGTCTTAGTTCTTGCACATCCTGCATCCTTGGCTGGTCAGACCCACGTCCCAGCCGGCCTTCCTGCATCGCTGGACCCCCTTCAGTCCGCCTACCGTCCCAACCGTCCCACAGAGGATGAAGATCCACCACCTCAGTCATCCCCCACCTGGACAATGAAGACCCCTACGCTAGAATCCTGTACACTGACTTCAGCTCAGCATTTAATACCATCATCCCCCAGAGACTAATGGAGAAGCTCCTCCTCCTGGGTCTGGACACCACCACATGGCTCTGGGTCCTGGACTTTCTGACCTAAAGACCCCAGTCTGTCCGAGTCAGAAAGGACAACTCCAACTCCATCCCGCTGAGCTCTGGATCTCCTCCAGGCTGTGTGCTCAGTCTACTGCTGTCCACACTGCTGACACTCGACTGTGCAGCCACACATGAGGAGATCCAGACCATCACGCTGCTGATGGTACCACAGTGGTGGGACTCATTCACCAGAACAAAGAACCAAAGAACAGAGATGAAGTGAAACCCCAGAGGGCTGGTGCAGCGAGAACAACCTGCTGCTCAGCGTGGACAAAACCAAGGAGATGATCATCGACTTCTGGAGGTCACGTCCTGAGCGTGCTCCCCTCAGCATCAGCAGCTGCCCAGTAGAGAGAGTGGAGAACATCAGGTTCCTCAGAGTGCAGATCTCCAGGACCTGAGCTGGAATAAGACCACCACAGCGATCATCAGACGGTCCCAGCAGAGACTGCATTTCCTGAGGAGGCTGAAAGCAGCCTCTCTCCCTGCCAGCATCCTCAGGACTTTCTCCAGAGGTGTGGTGGAGAGCGTCCTGACATCCTGCATCTCCACATGGTCCTCCAGCTGCAGCGTGTCAGACACAAAGCCCTGCAGAGGACAGTTAGAGGAGCTCAGAGGGTCTCCTCTGTCCAAGAGCTTCTCCAGAGCTGCTGCAGGAGCAGGACCCTGAACATGGTCAGGGACTCCTCACAGCCTCTCCATCAACCGTCTGAACTGCTGCCATCAGGAAAACGTTTCTGGAGCGTTAGAGGAAGAACCTGCAGACTGACCAACAGCTTCACTCCATCAGCTGTCAGAACGCTGAACTGCTGATCCAGAGATGCAAACACTTGTTTATTTAAACTGCTTTACGTTCCTGGATCCTGGAGAAAGGCTCTCATCCTGCCTGTGCTGCTGTGGACGTACAGCACCATGATAACCATACATACATACACACATACACACATACATACATACATACATACATACATACATACACACATACATACATACATACATACATACATACATACATACATACATACATACATACACACATACATACATACATACATACATACATACATACACACATACACATATATGTATATATATAGCATTTGGTGCAGTAGTGAGTATTTCCACACTAAGTTCATGGCAACATGTCACCCGGTGCTAACCAGTGTGTTTTTAATAACTTTTGGACAACAATGAAGGGAAGGAAGAATAAGATCTATCAGGTTTTGACAGGACATTGCACTTTTTGGATTTGTTAAGGGTAAAAACAGAATATGACCAGACTTATCTTTCCGGGATGCAACCTGTTGCCTGATACTGTTGTACTGTGCAGAACAACAGGACGAGGGAATGACTTGCAGGTTTTGAGTCTGGTGCTATATTTAACACGGTGATGATAACATCTAGTCAAGTCTAAGTGTTCAACCGAGCCTGAATTTCCTGATCTTGCGACACGACCTGTTGATGTTGTTTCAGTTTGTGTGTTTGCGAGGTGTGTTTAAGCACACACTCATTCAGATGGATTCACGTTGTGCCTGCATGCTGCCGGTACCTCCAGACCTTTTCAGACATGCATTATGTGGCTTCATCTGCCAAAGTGATGGCATTCAGTCAGTCAGACGTCTATGGACACTCCCACCGCGCTGATGGACAGATCTACAGTATGCACATAGCATCTGACAGAGATGCAGAAACAGACACTACTGTCTGTTCCTGCATCCAGTGATGTTAAATGCGTCATGAAAGACTACATTCAAACTGATGCTGATGGTTGTGATGGAGCTAAGGACTCAACCAGTGGATGATTTAGCTGCTCATAGACTTCAACCACGTCGCCGATAATTCGTAATTCTAAATAATGAACGAGGTTGCTGCTGCTGATCCATGTGTTAAATGCACACAACTCTGACTCTGAAGATGCTCATACGGACCTGCTGTTGTCTGATACAGTTTAGATTCAATTTAGATGGAAAATTCCTGCTGACATCTGAAAGCAACAAACTAACCTTGAGCTCTTGCAAATGTTTCGTCAACACCTGGTTTTCAGTTTGGGCTGCAGGTGTCTTGGTGGTTAGCACCGTGGCCTCACAGCTAGAAGGTCGCCGGTTTGCGTCCCGGTGAGGACACCCGGGATCTTCCTGCGTGGAGTCTCCATGTTCTCCCCGTGCAGCGTGGGTTCTCTCCGGGTTCTCCGGCTTCCTCCCACAGTCCAGAAACATGCTGAGGTTAATTGGTGATTGTAAATTGTCCGTAGGTGTGAATGTGAGTGTGCTTGGTTGTCTGTCTCTAAGTGTAGCCCTGTGATAGACTGGTTACCTGTCCAGGTGAACCTGCCTTCACCCTGAGTCACCTGGGATAGGCTCCGCCCCCCATGACCCTAGTGAGGGTTAAGGTGTAGAGATGATGGATGGATGGGTTTCAGTTGTGGGTGAGTCTCATTAATCTCACCTTCACTGCTGTAAAGCTGCAGTTCATTCCAATAAGGTTGTTGAGCCCAGCTCGGCCACTGTTGATGAAGTAGTTGATGTGATGAAGTGAGAGGAGGTCATTTGAGCTTTAGTAGAGCTTTAAAGATAAATTATATGTTTCACGACTAAAAACAGGACATTACAAAAAGTGTGAGGAGGCTACGATATAGTATGTTCAACCATATTGCCTGATATATCCTGAATTACTCATCCTGGATTATTTTTATTCTCTTATGGCGCCAATGTCTCTGTACAGTGTACCAGTGTGTGGCGATGGAGTTACCGACTGGCTTTCTGTCTGAAGACCAGCTCACCTGCTCCATCTGTCTGGAAGTGTTCAACAATCCAGTCTCGACACCGTGTGGCCACAGCTTCTGCCAGTCCTGCATCTCCTCGTACTGGGACAGAGGAGGCAGCGGTTCAAAGTATTACCAGTGTCCTCTTTGCAAGGAGTCCTTCCGCAAGCGCCCAGAGCTCCAAATCAACCGCACCCTGAAGGAAATCACCGAACAGTTCAAGCAGATGGCCAACGCCAGTGTGCTAACGGATGGAAGAGTTGGAGGAGTGGAGCGCTCACATCACCACCACCCTGCCCTGTCTCCACCCCCCAGAGCTGGAGAGATGCCAGACACAATCTTTGCTGAGATGATGGCGCGTTTTCAGCAGCTGCCGGTTGTCAGGATGCCTCACACCACCCAACCCAGTGACCTTCACCCCCAAAGCCACAGCCAAGCCAGCGACCACCACGACCCACCTCCACCCTACTCACCGCCCCACAGGTACAGGTCTACACTTTATAGATCACATACCAGTGTGTTTGATTCAGCCACTCCTTCACCACTGCACTGATGCTGTATTCATACTGCAGATGCACCAACCAGCTACAGAGAGCACAGCCTGTGGATTTATGATTCTAATGTTAGTGTGACGAACAACAACAAGCAAAAACCCA